ACAGATAGCCCTCGTGTAGCTTTGCGCGAAATTCAAAAACAAACAAACAATCGCTCTTGATACATTGAAAAAAGTTGCTATGATGACGAATAAGATGCTGAGTTCGTCGAGGTAAAAATACATTCTTCTTTAAACTGAGGAAGTCCATTTTAGTTTTTATATTAAAAATATATAAGGAAAAACTGCTTGTGTGTAATAAGTTGTCTAATAAAATCTTTCAAATATTATAAATTCTGAATTATATGGAGTATTGATAAACTGGTTTAATGTATGCAGTTAATGTTTTTGTTGTGACTGTTTAGCCGCGGCATAGTGGCTCATAGAACGGCTCTGATTTTCTGTTTTTTTTAAGTATAAACTTTTTAGCTCATAGCTCCATCATCTCTTGTCTAATTTGAAATATAATTACAGTTTTGGACTCGAGAGGTCAAACACTTTCCATTAATGTATTTGATCACGCCCAGGGTCTCAAAGATTAGTTTACTCCGATTCTGCTTAAATTAATTTCAATTTGAGGGTAGGCTCGTAGAGATCCTGATGAGTAATAAAATCGAATCCACGCTTGATATTGCTGGCACACAAAAATATAGTTAATAGAAAGGAGAAAAAAAGGGGTGTCACAGATTAATTTACTCTAATCCTGCCTGAAAGAATTTCAAGTGCCGCGGCTATTGAGGATTACCTCTTTTTGGTTTTTTTGTCTTGGTGAGACCTAGTTTGGATGTAAACTTAGCCTTGGCGCTGCGACACTTAAAATTAGTTGTCTTTTTGTAGGATAATAAATGTTTCATTGTCCTCTGGGTCAACAACAACTCACAAGCGACTCTCGCTACGACAGAAAATGAGACTTATTTTAAGCTGGATAAATTATTCTTCTTCTTCCGAATCCCCGTCCCACCAAACATACTCGACCTTTCAGCCGTAGGGGCGTTATACTATGACGGTCAATTCCACTATTCGTTGGTGGGTGGTGATGACTAGCTACTTTCCCTCTAGTATTTCACTGCTAAATTAGGGACGGCTAACGCAGATAGCCCTCGTGTAGCTTTGGGCGAAATTCAAGAACAAACAAACAGATCTGGCTTTGGTATAAACCTTGGTGATTTACGCTAACTAAAGCTGTTGGTTACACCCTCCTATGTTTTTTTTTTTCTGAGTGGCTTGGATCTGTAAACAAGATTAAACTCATGCAGTTAATCCAAGTATATGACAGACCACCCGTCAGCAGCCGGACGTATCTACTGTCTTCAGAAGTACTTGATTTCTTCTTCTATAATTATTTTTCTCTGCTGTTCATACCCTCACACGTTTGTCTCTGAGTGGCTTGAATTTATGTTAGTAAAACATTCTCGGTAACGAAAGTAGGCTTAGCTATTCTTTTCAGGAAAAGTCGGCAATGAGTATTGGGCAGGAAAATTACCCTAAAACTGGATTGTTGTATTCAATATCTTGCTGCTCTTGGAATTATAAACAAGTTTACTAAAAAAGGATAGACACAACTTTCTCTCCTTTCACACCACTGAAAGAAACGGGTTGTTTGTCTAACGATTAACAATACAACGAGGGTTTTGTCTAATGATAAACAATACAACGAGGGTTTTTGTATAATGATAAACAATACAACGAGAGATGTGTTTGATTAAGAATTTTGCACAAAGCAGATATGAAACTGATATACTTAGGGGAAGGTAGCCATAGTTAAAAGCACCCACCGCTATCTCTTTGGCTACTTTTGTCTGATTGAACAATGGAATTTGGCTGTTACCTTTATAGCGCACCCACGATCCCAAAGTGCGGAGCGCGTTTTTGCAGATTCACAGTCTGAGCATGCTAATGATTGGCCACACCCAGTCCTCAATGAAAAATAAACCAGGTGAAAAATACGTCTACGAAAAATGAATGTTACTATGCGTAAGCCATGAATTCATCAAGACTAATAGAGTAAGTTAAAACCTGTAGTTAAGATGTATCCCATAGATAATTTCCACAAAGTAAAATAGCTTTACATAATCAAATATTAGTACGATAAACCAATCCACCAGGTGACGTTAGATAAGATGCGTTGCTTAAGGTGTTATAGGTGACTCCAAGCACCCCAAAAATGCACATTGGAGTCAAATGTGTGTAAAGAATGAAAAGTGGACAACTGTGTGGTTGCTGTTGTTAAGCGCGAAGCTACACAGTGGGCTATCTGGCTCTGCATATCGCGGGTAATGAAACTCAATTTTTAGTGTTATAACCCTGCAGACTATTATCACTGAGCAAACAGAGGGCGAAAAGCGAAAATAAGGACTTAACTGAAAAACAACAACAATGTAATAAAACACGCACATATTTCTTCGAAGAATTAATAGAATACTGTTTAAGAACGAGCAATATTCCATTTGAAAACGTAGCTGCCAAATCATGTGATACATTGCCGATAAACTTTCTTCTTTTTTTTTACCACCTACAAGTGCGCCAAGCACAAGCTGTCACTAAACGGAATCTAGAAATCGCAAGTGAGTGAATTGATCGTGCATTTTACAAATGCAGTTTTTTATTTACGAACAAAACATTTTTTGCACAATCGAGAACAGTGTCACTCTCACTTCTCTGAAGATGATTTATTTGCCTAAAGAACCTGTTATTTAATAAACATGGCAGACAACCACGTGAACAAAAATCATACATTTGCAAATTATATAACATTTCTTTAAGTGGCTCAGTGGCAAGTCTGAAGGCTTATAACGCTAAAAACCGGGCTTCGATACTCGTGGTGGACACATCACACATAACCCATTGTTTAGCTTTGTGCTTAACAATTGGCAAAACATAATCTAAGATATAAGTTATATCTGCTTAAAAGTTGATATCATCGTTAAATTAAGAGAAGGGCCTGAAAGGGTATCTCGGTTTTACATATTAGTATACATAAATTAACTTTTTAGTTTATTATACATGATACTAGGCTAACAGTAGAAAAGAATCTAACATGATTCATTCATTAATGGCGATTCGTTCAAACTATTTATCGAGCAGAGCTTAGACCTAGCGTGGCCTAGTGATTAGCATGCCTATACTTTGAATCGAATAATTCATGGTTCGCTTACCCGTTATTGCACAACGCGCTCTGCATTTTGGGCCGTGGGTGTATTGTAAGAGTGACGGTCAAATCTCACTATTCGACGAGGAAAAAATTATTTCAAGAGTTGGTAGCGGGTACTGTTGAGTAACTGTTTTTTATTGCTATTCTATCAGTTCAAAATTATGGACGGCTGTGCGCAGATGCGACATTATGAAAACAGCAAAATAATTCACTTGTAACATTTGTGTGGCCAGTGTTTGGAACTGTAAAAACGTCCATTCGAATAAAATAATATTTATCAACTTTGGCTTTCAGACTGGTTTTACATAGTCACTGATTAATAATATTCATTTGAATCACACTGATTTTTACTTTGCATGAGCGGAGAGTGTAAAATTCAGACATAGCTACGAATAGCTGTGATATCGAAATATCACAGCTACTTACTTTTCATAACTCAGAACCTCATAATATTTTTTACTTCAATAATATTCTGGAAATATTTTAAAACATTTAGTGTAGATAATCATACTTAATAAGTCATTCTACACAGTCAAGATGTGCCAAACTTGATGCCTGATTTGCTTGCTGGATAATTTGTTTCAGTGGAGTGTCTGACTCATGGTCATGTGCGAAGATATAGAGGTTGAAAACTCTGTTCTGTTCATGTGGCTTCCTGACGACTTTGAATTCTGAGAAGTTTCAATTGATCTGAAAGTAAATATTATCCTATGCTAAGTAGTTCTTGATCAGCATTTGTTTAATCAGATTTGCCTTATTTTTATGATGTGCAGTTGTCAAAACACTGTAAGAACTGTTGTCGTTGTGGTATGTAGAAATACCACGTTCTCTGCCATCTATAGTGATATAATTATTTTTAAAGTTTTGATTATCTGGTTTCTGCACTGTCTTGGCGACAACACGTGGTTCTAGGTGTCTAATAGTATCTTGTTCTAGCCATCTCAGCCCTTTGTTCTTTTGTTAGTTGACGTATTTTGCTCGCAAGGATATTTCAGTACTTATTGAGCCTAGATTAAAACTAATTAGAACTGGAACATCCTTTGCAGGTTGACGGGTGACGTCAACTGATAGCTGACCAATGCTTTTAAGGAACAGAG